AAATCATATTTTTCTACTATTCGTTCTCCTACATCTTTATCATACATGTTTCATTTATTTTTATTTTTTATTTTCTATTAAATTTCTTTAATGAAGTTTTGATGTTAGAATTTAAACTATTTTAAGGGAGATTTTGGGAAATTCAAGCAAAGAAAAACAAAATGAACACAAATATGTATGGAAGTACAGGATGTATTTCAAGAATTCAGAGTTAGACACATTTGGCTGGAGGAGAGAACTATACTGGGGAATGTTAAGAAACTTGCAGAGATAATTTAGTCAGTGTGTGAGGGCAATGAATAACAGCAAAAGTAGGAAGCCATTGAAGATTTAAGAATCGGGTCATGTTATTAACTGGCTAATAATAATGAAACCTTAAAATAATCTGAGTATCTCTTTTAAAAATATCACTTGTTGAATCATTATTTTAATTAACTTGACACACAATGAACCCTCTACAGACTAAAGGACATAATGTATAGGAAAGTGGTTTGAAGTACTGAGTGTTCTATAAAGAGATGGCGTCGAGTTTTCTCTGTATGAGTGTTAGTGTGGATGCACATTATGATGCTTCTAAAGCCACTCAGTCTCCCTCATTGCTGTCTTGATTGTGTGGCAGAGTAAGCATCTGATGAAAACTTAGGATACCTAGGATTTAGGCTACTAATCTTCTGGGTTACTTGGAGCAAGGAACTTTAGCTTCAGATTCTTGTGTAAATTAAGAACTAGGACTGGGTTATCTCTAAACGTGCCTTCATGTCTAAAACTTCAATGATTCTATGATTCTATAATTGTTCCTATAATACATACCTTGATTTAGCACCAATTTTTTTAGGCTTTTTTTTTTTTGCTTTGTCACCCAGGCTAGAGTGCAGTGGCACCATCATAGCTCACTGTAACCTCCAACTCCTGGGCTCAAGCGATCCTCCTGCCTCAGTTTCCTAAGTAGCTGGGACTACAGGCATGCACCACCACACCCGGCTAATTTTCATATTTTTTGTAGAGATGGGGTCTCACTCTCACTCAGGCTGGTCTTGAACTCCTGGCCTCAAGTGATCCTCCCACCTTGGCCTCCCAAAGTGCTAGGATTACAGGCATGAGCCATGGCACCCAACCAGGCATTTTTAAGTATTCATTTAACAATGACAGGTTCACAATCATTGAAATGCTATTTCAATATAACATCAGCTGCCATTTATTATCTAAAGGCATTTTACAACCTTTTAAAGTCACATTACATTGGTTCT